TTCACTCTGTTCAAATGTGGATGAATGGCTGCACATAGATGTGTGCATACACTGCCAGAACTGTGTGAGATCACTACCATCCTGCTTTTGTGGGGGTGGGTAGGGGTGTTAAATAATTTTTTTTGTTTTGTTTTTTTCCCCATAGGTTTTTAACATTCTAAAAGCTCTTTATTGCAAATATACTACAAGCTAGTCAGTGTATTCAGCAGGTGTAATGTATTCTAAGTTGCTTCAGAAGTATTGCAAGTACTACTTCGTACAACAATAAAACAGTGCATTGACATAAAAAAGGAAATTTACTTTTGGTACTTAAGTACTTTTAAAAGCAAGTACTTCTGTACTTTTACTTAAGTAAAAATCTGTCTTTACAACTTTTACTTGTAATGGAGTAATGTTTGACCAGCAGTATCTGTACTTTCACTCAAGTAATGGAGTTGAGTACTTTGTCCGCCTCTGTGAATAGATAGATTTAGTATGAAAGAAAGAGAAAGTTTATTCAAATTAGTTACAGCAACTTGTAAACAACAAAACAGTTCTCTGGTCTTAAAGTAGCTATTCAGGGTGTCAGGCCTGCAGAAGTAGTAGGAGTGATTGAGACGCAGATGGAAACAGGGAGTGAACAGGAGATACTGAGGGGGATGTGGGGAATTCTGTTCAGCTCTTGCAAGAACAAAACTTTTTTGTTTGGCCACTGTGACAGCAGAAGTCAGCATGTAACGACTCACAGACCAAACAACAGAGTGAATGTGTGTTACTGCCCAGCCTTTTGACATATCTTTACAAGTCAACTCAACCACTAATCACGCTTACATGAACCAAATTAATAATAGGACAATCAAGTCAACTTTATTTTATAGTGTTTTTTACAATAGAGATTATTTTGAAGTGGCTTTACAGTATTAAACAGGAAATTAATAGACTCAATCATGCAAACTTCAAAAATAGGACAAATCCAAATTCTGCTGTAAAGCAGCTGCAGCAAGTCAGTAGTGTTATTATTCAGCTCCAGTCAGTTCAGTGTTGGTTCAGTTCAATAACTGTGTAAAGTTCAGACAATAGTGTCATTATTCAGCTCAATTCAGTTTAAGATTTGTTCTGATCCAATAGTGTCAGGGCAGTTTTTGCAACAAACATTGGGTTCTCCAGGCTCAGTCGGAGGACTAGTTTTCCTCTGGCCAATTGATCTTTTTAATGTCACCAAATCAAAATCAACAACTCTTTTTTTTTTTATGAAATGTTGCAGTGTTTATTTATTATAAATGATTTATCTGTGCATATAATTAAAAAAAAATCATGTGCCCTCATAATCTTTAATCAGAAAAAATTAACTTCCCCTCCCTCTCACAATCAATGTTTTGTGCACTGGTGCAAGAGCGGGACAATAATTAGCAAATGACAACAATCCAATAAATTCCCAAAACAGTCCTGCTGTACATACACCATTCAAGATGCCGTTTAACTTGGATATATGTCAGAATACAAAAGAAAAGTCAGTCACTATTTCCGGTTCATGTTGACTTTAAAATGTCATTAAAATGACCCTTTAATCTGTCTGAAATCAGAGTTTTTCTGATGTTTGTTTGTTTATTTCGTTTTTAAAGTCAGACTGACAAAGCTCAGTAAATGCAATTGTAGCATGATTTCATCCAGCATGCGCACAACAGCAAGGCCAATTGTAGACTACAATTGGCCTTGCTGTTGTGCGCTTTCTCCAGGAGACAGAGATGATGCACAACATGTATTAAATCACTACCAGACAACTTTCATATTCACTCATAAGATTTAGAGTCACTCGCTTTGTAATATTCCCTGTTTCATTTTGACCTGAATCTAACACGCAATGTCAACAATCTCTCTCGCTCTGCTGGACATTGCTAAAATGCTAAAACCCATGTGCTAATAATGACTATACTCACAAAGCACAAAATATGTTATGGGTGTGTGTGTGTGTTTGATGGGTGGTGGTGGGTCCCTTCATCTGCAGCTTTTGTTTCAATCTTACACACAAACATTATGAACGTAAGAAGCTGACGGATCAGTTCCAGATGGACTGAGCTGAATGCAGGAGTCACATGCTGGCTTTGGGTTCGGCTGGAAAAAGCTTTCCAAAGTGTATTAGACCATTGTGTCAGATGCACTTGTCTGTGGGCGCTTTTCTGTGTGTGTGTAGTCGAGTGTAGCGATTATGTAGTGTGTATGTGTGTGCGAGGGGTTGTCAAGTATGGTGAGAGAGTCACACTCTATCCACCCCCACACACACTGTACGAAAGCCCTAAAAAAGAGCAACAACTTCTTATCATCATGGGTGTGGTACTTCCTTAGAAATCCCACTGAGTCAATGAGCTGATGTCTAAAACATCACCACTGTCCAGAGAGAGAGAGAGGGAGGTGGGGTCAGTTTCTGTCCTGTCTGGATGACTGGAAAGCTATGAGTGTGAGCAGAGAGAAAGACAGAATTTAATGACTTTAACAAGGTTGGGTGATTGCCAACATGTGTTAATGCTGTTGCACTCTGTTCTTATTCATCAATAAAATAAAGTGTCTTTTCAGAGCAAATGGTTCAGGAATTAAACCGGCTAATAGGAAAAGCTTTCTTTTGCATCATAAGGTAAAATGCTTGAAAATCCCTCCTGTGACAGACCATTCTTATTATGAAGTCATTGAGGATGCGTTATATCACTAGTAATAATCACTGGTCTTTTCATTTCCTTTAAAAGCTGGAATACAAAACTTTTGCCCTGAAGCTAGTTGCAGAAAGTCAGAGACAGCTTGCAGATTTTGGTCAGTCAGAGCTGACAGATTTCACAGAAAATGGCATAGTGTAAAATGGGTACAGACCGATTTTTTAGCTTCTGACTGATTCAGTCGCTCACTGATTCCAGTCGGAGGATATCAAATGTGTTTGATATTTTGAGCTGATTTTAGAAAACATTGTTTTCATTTGCCATGCATCTCCTCGCAACGAGGCACATGTTTGTGGCTGAGTTTGTTGTTCCGATTTCTGAATAACTTGAAAGTCTGATTTTCAGTCGTTTAGTTAATTTTTTTCTTGCTGTAGCCATTTACAAAGTCAGCAGATATATGATGCCTAGTGTTTTCAAATCTGTTCAGATATTATACGACATGTAGTGTATTCTTTAGTGTATTTCAGAAGCAAGATATTTAATACTGGTTTGAAATGTTAATTGTAACATCAATAAGTTAAACTACAGATTTAAAAAACAATTGTAGTGCATAAAATACTACAAAATTACACAAAGCTACACTGCTAAAAGTGTGCAGTCAACAACTTTACATTGTGCTTTGCCAAATATTGTAAAGGGTTTAAAATTTAAAACACATTGCAGAAATACCTAAATACCCCCCAATGTCTGTGTTCCTATATTTGATAGACTCTTATGTGTGAGAAAGTGTAATGTTGTGTATTCTTGCTATAATCAGCTCCAGCTGGGGTCTGGAGGCCTCGGAGTGATGAAGAGGGTCCTGAGACTTTCCCTGCTCTCTCTCTCTCCTCCTACTCTATTTCCATCCTCCTTCAGTGTTATTTGTTTAGACAAAGCTGGGGTCTTCAACCTTTTTCAGGCTAAGGTAACGTCTAATCTATGAAAACATGCATATAGTATAAATGTATACATACTTATGATGCTTTTGCTGTTATGATGCTTACATTGTAAAGCCATTAAAATAATCATTACAGAAGTCAAGAACCATATAATTTTATAACTTTGGCTAAAGGTAACATACCAGTATTTTTGCTTAATGTAGATTTTTTCTTTTTTCCCACAAAATAATAGCTCTATAGCTCATAGCAGCCTTCCAGTTGGTCTCATGTCTCAAAGTTTCTACATACAGTAGTTGTTCTCCACCCTTTCATCTTATTAACTTTTTCTCTCTTTTTTTTCTTATGAATTTTCCCCCAATTTTGGAATCTTTTGTCCTAAATGACTTTGCCTGCATATTGTCCTCACCTTTTTCTGTTTTATGTTATTGTAAAGATTTGCACAATAATGAGCTACTCACTTCGATAACTTTAGTAGTCAGTCGTTTGTCTTTATATGAGTCAGTTTCTCTCTGGCTGAATCAACACAGAGTTTCAGTCAGTTCTAATGAGAGAGAGACAAGAAATTAAATAGATGATGAAAGAGAAAGATCAGTCATGATGTTTTTAAATTGTGATAATGAAACGTGCTATCATTCTAGGGAATCACTCTTGTATTTCTTGACATCTAACTATTTAGAAATCACTTTATCATCAGGACATGCTCAAGGCTGCAAGCGGAGAAGGATTAAATAGTACAGGATACTTTTCATGTCTTTGAAAGAGGACTCGTTACTGATCTTGCTGAGACGTGCAGAACAAGCTCAGATTTCTAAGAGTGAAGTTTAATGTAAGCATATTGTGTGTGTGTGTGTTTAGCAAACAGTAAGCTGTGGACAGCAGCACAGTATGATCACCATAGCGGTGAGATTCACAACAAACCTTTTGACCTCATAGACTCACAGCTGAGTTACAACTCTATCCAAGAGGAAAACATTCATATCCTCGGTCTACTGCTCTGCTCTGAAAGACCAGAGACCCACTTCCTCCTAGTAATACTGTCTGTTTTGGAATAGAGTAAAGACACCTTGAGGAACAGGTTTTTTTGGCATGTGTGAACAGCAGTGTTCCCATCAAATTGGTATATACATTTGAATATATTGTGTATATTTTATTATAATATCAGTTTACATTTCCAAACATTCATTTTGCCATTAATTGTAATAATCCAGTGAGATTTTTGTCTGACAACAGCAAGTGCTCCACACAGAGATCTGATCTGATCATCATCCAGTTCTTGAAGCTTCTTGGAGATGTTGCCACAGTTCTTCTGGATTTAGTCTGTCTCAGTTTGTTCTGTTTCTTCATGTCTTTCCAGACAGACTGGATGATGATCAGATCAGATCTCTGTGTGGAGCACTTGCTGTTGTCAGACAAAAATCTCACTGGATTATTACAATTAATGGCAAAATGAATGTTTGGAAATGTAAACTGATATTTCCTACTGACACACTACAGCAAAAGATAGAAATAACTGTCTTAAAACAATTTTTTATCTGGTGAAAAATGAAAATACTAATGTTCTAATAATCTTGGCCATCACTGTACAAAGGCTCAAATTTTGAGATTGAATAAATGCACAATATAAACATTTAATATAAAATATACCGGTAATACAATAATACAACTAACTTACAACAATGTGCAGTATTGCTGATCTTTTGTAATGATAGTTAATACTAATGCATTTTCATTGTCAGTTCATGTCAGCTGTGGTCCATTAAATAATATTAACAAATACATCTTTTGATTTTAAGAATTTATTAGTGAAGGTTGATATTAATGTGAACATAAAGGTCAATGTGTTAGAAGTATTTTTCATTGTTAATTCATGTTTACTAATGTTAACAAATGTAACCTTATTGTAAAGTGTTAACAATATACTTTACAATATTATGATTGATAGTACAAATGTCTATATCTTTTAGCTGCCTTTTCTCTGTATTTTAAATTTGTGTTTGGATGGAGTTTCCGTTAATAGCAGCTTTGTTTTGGAATGAATCTGTTGAGTGAATGATTGAATAATTGAATGAATCACTCAGTACTCTAACAGATGCTCACTCATCACTACCTACTGATGTAATTATGGAACACTCACAGAATAAATAAGTTTCTTGTTGATCTGAATCAAAAGATTCAAGTCTATTATATGAATCATGGGACATGTACTAGTTTGGAAATCAAGGTAATGGACCTGTTACATCTGAACATGTTAGAGTGAAGTCAATTCCTCTGTATGGAATCAATTTCCACCTTTGGAATCTAAAGTACTCTTGATTCCCAACGGAATCAAAGAATGGATTCCAATTCAGTCTGATTCATGTTTGTCTGTTCATCCAGTGAGTTCCTTCAAGAAATCATTGTGAAGCAGAGCACAGTTGATGCATGCCTTAGACATATGCGATTTGTCCGATAGACAACATTGTTTAGTGATTCTAAATGATTCATTGTTTACAGTCCACAGTCTGTCAAAGAGACAGTGTGACCCATGTTACATTCATGGATCATTCCATCATTTTGCAGGAGCCTGTGCCAGCTGCCCTCAGATTACCCTGATGTTGTTGTAAATGGTACTTCCCAACCTTCCGTTACTATGACAACAGTATCTGTGAGTAGAAAAACTAAAATCTTTCGTTTTTGGATATTTATGATTATGTATCTAAAATATTTAATAGTAAAAATCAGTAAACAGTGTCTAATAACTTCAGACTTCTCAGAGCAAGACTCGAGCAGTAAGTTTAGACCAACAGAACAACAAGACCAGCACCAATAGAGGTGTGTAAACGGGTTCCATTTGCACAATATCCAGTTGACTGGATTTCACTGAATATTTGTTCCTTTGCTAGCATACCAAACTCATACGGACACAAATGATTTATTTCGTGTGCGTGTCTATGCATGTCCAACAGATAAGAAAGTGGAGAATTCACTCCTACAGACATGCAACTCTTCGGTTTTAGATGTGACAAATAAGATCAACAGGACAAGGTGAATCAAACACTTTTACCTGTTTTTCCACCCTTCGTTCATGAGAAACTTTATAGTAATTTATCAGATAATAGAGAACTGACATGAATCACCTTTCCCATCAGGACACAGGAGGATTTCCTATCAGGACTCAGGTCACTGAGGCTTCATGGCAGCTCCAGACGGAACTCCCTGCTTCGCTGGTGTCAAGGAAGAACTCAGGGATACAAGGTACTGAATTCAACCAAACTAAACTAAATAGCTGACAGATCAAACTTGGCAGTCGGCCACACACCCCCTAGTCTCAGCCTCAGACAGCATAGACCACCCACAATCCTTTCACTGACTGTCTGATGCACATTGTACACACAACTGAAAAGCACTTTCTCAGTCTGGAAAGCTCTAGTCTGACACACGGTATTTTTTTACCAGTCTGCCTGCAAGAGGAAGCCTGGAAGTCGTGTTTATAAGTTACTGGGTTGAAACAACAAACACTTTTAAAGATTGAAATAGTCACTGAATTGTTTGTTTTTTGAGACACTTAATAGCAAGTCAACTAGATTTACACTGCAATTTAAAACTTTAGGGTCAGTACAATTTTTAAAAAGAAATGTATTGTTTATGTAGCAGAATTAGTATATTTATATTAAAATGTATATATGCATTCAGCAAAGATGCATTAAATTAATGAAAAGTGACAGTAAAGACACTTATAATGTTACAGAAATGTTTCAAATAAATGTTGTTCTTTTGAACTTTCTATTAATAAAAGAATCCAGAAAAAAATTATCTTACACACACATATATATGTCACTGTTTTTACTGTATTTTGATCAAATACATGCAGCCTTGGACATAAGAGACTTCTTTCATAAGCATTTTGAAAGGTATTGGTTATGTATATTCTGTTGTGTTTATTTGTGAAATAATAGGGACTTTTTTGCTTACTATGTAGAATATATATATATTATATATATATATATTACAAAACCTTTCATCAAAGTTGTCCTAAAACCTAAAACCAAAATGTCTTAGGACAACTTTGATGACATTTTTTAATCCACTTCAAATGTTGACTACTGTATATCTAGAGTATCTGCCTGTCTCTGTCTTATTTTGCTGCCTCCTGTCTTTCTTTCAGAATATTGAGATCACTAATTTCAGCAGTTGCTGGGTGGATGGTTTGGCCTTTTGTGCGATTTACCACAGTTACCTCCCCTCTCACATACCATATGACAAACTCAGTCCAGAGAATAAGGTAATACACACTTCATACGCATGACTTGCATGCCAACATATTAACATAAGGGTTATGATAATGGTGATGATTTTATCCACAGAAAGAGAATCTCACTCTTGCATTCCAGACTGGAGAAGGTTTTGGAATCTCTGCATCACTGGTGCGTGAACTTGAGTTTTTTTCTAAACAGTTGTATTTAATTTCATAACTCAATCATGTAATTACTACACCATGATTCAGCCACCAAACAAATCAAGCAATGCACTATTAATTAGTTCCAGCTTGAATAAAAAAAAAACATCTGTCAGATATTGGTGCTGACCTCAGATGAGAATGAGAAACTTGACAGGCAAGATGTGAAAATGACTCAATCATGATTGAATAGACATGTGAATAACTTAGATATGATTGATTAGATATGTAATTGGCTCAGAAATTATTGGCTAAACATGAGAATTACTCAGACATGACTGACTGGATATGTAACTGCCTCAGACATGATTGGCTGATATGATAATGACACAATCGTGATTAAAAAAATAGCTCAAACGTGATTCATGGAAATTAATCAAATATGACTATTAGTATGATTTCGTGTGGTTGTTCATTTCTGACTAATGTTTCATTGTGGTTCCTCAGACGGTGGAGGAGATGCTAAAAGAAGAAGCACCGGACTGGCACAGAGTTCTGGAATACGTAGAGAGCATCTACCGCCACTTTGAGATGTAAGACTGTGAATATATACACGTCCTGATCATTTATACCGTGATCACGAATGCTTTCAAAATTCCACCACAGCAAAAGTATATTCTCAGAGGGGAGCACACAACTTAAAGAAACCTTAAAGTGGACCTTTAGGATCTTTAGCTGTTGGTCTGCGATCGGATTTTCGGACAAAACCTAAGAGGTTTGTAATAGAGAAGGTTTTGCTGGTTAGCATGGCCTGCTAACACTGCCACATATTCTGACTTCTTGCAAACAACAAATGAATTGCTTGTTTCATTATATTATATTGAAGAGCTGTCAAATGGACCTAAGGGCTTGTGACTATGTGCTCTCTTGATGTGCCATTAACCAATCAGCATTTACAGCTGAGGGGATTAGCTCAAAATTGTTTGTGCCAAGAACTGAGAGCCCGAAAAGGAAGCAAGCAGGTTGCTTACTTCTGGGGATCCTGCACCAATTTTGCATTCACACCACTGAGATGAGCTGGAATGCTATTGAATAGCTTGTCCTAGTATTATAGATCTCCTGAGAAAGGCTGGAGTATCAGTGTAAAGTAGGGTTTTGAGTTGGATGAGGAGTGTCCATCAAAATTACTGTTTTGTTTGTTATTGCTGCTTTCTGCCCTCTGTTGGTTTTCATTTAGTATTGCAGTTTCAATTTGTTGTTTGTCATTTTGCTCTTTTTTATTCAGATTCTTATGCAGTAAGACCTGGACTACAGTATAAATCTCAAATCACAGAAATCATTACTCTTGTATGTGTGCCATGTTTTTTCGCTGTGATCTGATTAAGGAACCGAGCTGATTCATTCAGCAGCTGTAATATCATCCTGTTTTGTTGTCTTTGAGCCCCAAAACCATCATTGATACTCTGACACCAAAGTACCATTAGTGTGATGTATATATTAAAGGAAAATAAGATTCCAAAGACAAGCATTAATAAATCAATGTTTTGTTTTTACTGTTTAGCTCTATTTTTCTTAATGCGCATTCAGACGTGTAGTTTTCCCTGACAAATCTGTGAGGCTTAGCAAGCCTGTTTACGTGAGAATGTGTAGGAAAACTGTTGGACTAAAGGAAAATATTCATGAATTTGAAAGGGACATTTAGGCATCATAGATTCAACAGCCTCGAATGTCAGTGGCTGCGCAAAATTATTCTGGCACAAAAATTTACACACAAAATTGTTTCTCCATTCTCTCTGTCACTGTTAGAAATGTATTCCTATTTATGTTTCTATTCCTAATTTCAGTTTTAGTGGTTTAAAGACGTGGTCTTTGATATATGGAAGTTCCTGTTTTAAAATAACCGAACAAAGACCAGTTGACTGACATATGTTTATTGTATTCAACCACTTAACTTCCATATGGGACAGACACCTCATAATGAAAGTTGTGAAAGTTATGTGCCTAAGGCAAAATATTTCTCCAATGAAGATGTAAATTTTCCATAACAAAAGTTTCTTGGAGAAGGCTTGATTAATCTAGGTTGTACTTAATGTTGGTACTGTACATAAATATATATTACTTAGTTAAATGTCTTCTAGTGCACTCCCTCCTTATTTATATTGGCTTGCATTGGTCTTCATACCGGACACTGATCTCCTTCTAGTCGCTATTTTTAAAAAATCTGCATGAAATAATACTGTTGTAATAAATAAATAATAACAATAAATAAATACATGCATACTTGAACCGTATTTTACCAAAATATGAGGGACTTTTTCTTTGAAAGTGAATTACTCAGCACATACGTTATTGGCTTCACACACTTCCACGTGTCCCTGAAACCAGAAAGAGAGAATGAATAAACCAAACAGACTCGCTGAACTGTTCGCCTGTCACTGAACTGCCTGCTGTCACTCGCGGGTTCCCCAATAACCCTCATTGATCCCCATTCATCAGCACGGTGAGTGTGAATACATCTGAATGTGAGCTGTTGTTATGCTTATGTTGCATTGTTTGTTTTGTTCTGACAGCTAGGAGATCTTACTTTACTCCTCCAGTCAGGTGACTTTCAAAGTCTTACTGTGTTTTATAATATCAGTGTAGTCCGTGAATACCAGTGTAGGAAGACTGAATTGAACTAAGGTCTTGGACGTTTGGGGATCTTGGTGACTTTTTAATGCCACGATGTGCTTCGCATTAATGAAAGAGCTCCATCCATATAAAGTGAAACAGGATGCTGCAGGTGAAGGTAAAGCCACGTAGTTCACGTACAGGTTGAGTAAGAATAGAACACACCCACATACCTGTTAACAATGAACCAGTAATTACAATAGCCTAATTCATGTGGCTATCTTTTAATCTGTGCTGAAGGCTCTCAACATGCGTCAGAAGATCTTGGTGACAGGAGGAGGTGGATACATTGGCAGCCACTGTGTTGTGGAGCTCATAGAGGCTGGTTATCACCCTGTGGTCATCGATAACTTCAGTAATGCTGTCAGAGGTAAACAGACTTCAATAAATCACACATAGTGAAGAAGGGCTTTGGTGGTATTCTGAACACACAGGGACCCTTTTCAGTAAATCTTGCTGCATTACAAAGAGCCTCAGAAATATCCTGCACACACAGTGAGCCCTTGTGGACTATATGTAGTATTTGCTGGGTGAAGCAATCCATAGTCTCAGTAACTAAACTTTTTTTAAATATGAAATTAAATATTTTATAAATAATATGCATTCATTTTTATATTTAATTTTATTTATAAAAACAATGTTTTGCTTAAAATTTATTGTAATATTGTTAACTTTGCTTTTAAATTTAGGACAAAACCTTTATATTTAAATTAATGTTTCCTGTTTTTTATGTCTGTCATTCTTTGTGGATGTGTGTTTTGTTGAGGAGAGGGTGATGTTCCAGAGAGCTTGCGGAGAATAGAGAAGTTTCTGAAAACTCAGATTGAGTTCCATGAGCTGGACCTTCTAGATAAACCTGGATTGGAGAAAATATTCAAAAAGGTAAAAATAAATATACACTCTTTTTTTTTTTTTTTTTAATATATTACATTTAATATTTTTCGTATCCATTACTTGCTTTGTATAATGAAATCTAATTACTGTTCTACAATGAGCCACAACATGTCTCCGGTTTTCTTCTCATTTTTTATACATTTATTTTATTATTATTTTTATTGTTACTTAGCCACAACATGTCTACGTCATGTTTTTTTTTTCAGCCACAAAATGTATGCTATTTTTATTTTATTGCTTATAGTTTTATACTTTTTATTTGTTTTTTATTATTATTTATATTTGTATATATTTAATAAATTTTGAAACTGTGTGTATGTGTGTTAGTGATTTTGGCTCTTAAGGAATGCCTTACTGTTTGTGGCCCTGTGTATGTGTCTGAATCAGGTGATGCAGTCTCATGGAGTGCGTAATCTGGTATTCAGCAGCTCCGCCACCGTCTATGGAGACCCCCAGAAACTCCCCATTGATGAGCAGCATCCAGTGGGTGGCTGCACAAATCCCTATGGCAAGACCAAGTACTTCATAGAGGAAATGATCAGGGACCAGTGCACAGCAGAGAAGGTAGCTGACCGCTCTCTCATGACACTTTTGACTCTGTGGCAGGTTTGTGACTGATAAAATGTCTTGCAGGATTGGAATGCTGTGCTGCTCAGGTACTTCAATCCCATTGGTGCTCACATCTCGGGACAGATTGGTGAAGATCCACAGGGAATCCCAAACAACCTTCTGCCTTATTTGCTTTGGTTTTTTTTTTTTGGGCTGGTCTTTTTTTTTTTGTTTTTTGGTTTTGTTTTTTTTTTTTTTTTTTTGGACAGAGTTTTCTAGTTTCCATTTATTCAGTTTTTATTTTAGTAGTTTGTGCTATCATTAAAACACTTATCATTTCAAATATTAATGCTGTTAAATTTCTAAGCTATGTCTAATGTTTTTGCTATCCAGTGGCATTTTCATGATTAATGCCGGTGGGCTGTAAAGGTTTCAAGTTTTATAATATACTATGTCTCTAAAACTAAAATTAATTTGTATTATTATTATTATTTTAGTTCGTTTTGGAGTATTAAAAATTGTTATTTTCAGTTTCTTCCTAGTTATGTTGGTTTTTATTTCAGTTAATAGGAATGTTTCCATTTTCTTTTCATTTTAGTTTTCAGTAATGACAATATCACTGATTCCTTTATTTCTGGGTAGGTGTGAGAGACTACATCCATGTTGTTGACTTGGCAAAGGGGCACATTGCTGCCGTCAGGAAACTGAAGGACAACTGTGGGTGTAAAGTATGACTTTTTTTCTTCCTCTTTAATGTACTCCATTTTCACATCCTTTTTTTTCTTCTCAGTTTTACATTTCTGTGTTGGTCTCTGTGTAGGTTTATAATCTGGGCACAGGTACAGGCTACTCAGTGCTGCAGATGGTGAATGCCATGGAAAAAGCTTCAGGTCGAAAGGTGAGGCGTAAACCTGCTGTGGTCCAAAGCACACACACATTTTGTTTAGCCTTAATGAAATCTCATTATGATGTTTATATTGCCATAAATTTATTATTTTTTTATCTGACATTCTCTTTAATGCTATAGTGTTTTTCTTCTGGTCTCAGATTGCCTATCAGATTGCACCTCGACGCAGCGGTGATGTGGCCTCCTGCTATGCAGATCCAACTCTGGCGGAGAAAGAGCTGGGCTGGAAGGCTGAATACGGCCTGGAGAGGATGTGTAAGTGAATTGAAATCATTTTAATTCTGCAACATGCATAAGTAGATAAGAGTGTAATGAGGTGTGAAGTACTGACGGCTCATGATTAATCAGACTTTTTTTTCTTCTAACCACACAGGTGAGGATCTGTGGCGCTGGCAATCCCAGAATCCCACAGGATTCAGTAATGGAACACAGTCTTAAAACTGGATGAATGCAGAATGTTTCTTACGGAAATAAGGGAATTGCACACATGGCAAAAAACTAAACAAAGCCAAAGTGGGACCATGAAGTCTTTCATTTTGTAATAATTATATGTAAAATCATTATATTACAAGAAACTTGAAGCTAAACAAATGATTTTATCAAATTTAAAATCTGTCTCTTTTGTTTTCTAATGTCCTCCATTTTCGTGTAATCTCACTTTTATCAAAGTACACTGAATGGTGCATTTCTAATCTAGAATTATTTATACTTCCTTGTCAGTATGAAATAATAAAAAATTATTTCGCTTATTTAAAAATAACTTCTGTGTTCTCGTGTTATTGTATGTCCAACTGAATTTTTTCAGCATTGTACCGATTGTTCATTTAACAATTCTGTATAATTTTTTTTTACATGTTTTTTGTCAACACTCGCTTCTTGTCAGACTCGACTGTGCGTAACGAACACCGTGCCCTGTCAAATCAATGGCGCTGTTTCCTATTAGACGAAAGGGTCAACAGAAGTGCTGAAAAACATAAAATTAGACATTTTTTCATTTTCAAGGCCAGAACCTGCTAATATAAATAACTCGGGTTTGCTGTACGGGGCGCGTGTGCTTTAAGCGGTTCTCTGGTCCCGGGCGCACCGGACACCCACGTCAGCAAAACGTTTTTCCAGCACAAACGGGTTTCGGTCTTTCGGGCAAAGCAGGAAGTGAAAGCCGTTCGCCCTGATAACAAAAGCTGGAGAAATACATCCAAAGTAGGCTAAGAAATGGAGATGGTTTGTGAAAGTGGGACATGTCGACCGTACCGGAGTGCGGGTGACGCGGGGCATCTGTGAGTATTATGTTCAAGAGACTGGGGAAACGGTGCCCGGGTAAAGAGGGTGGGCGACGGGGACCAGCGCGAGGCTCAGCGCCAACCCGCGGGTCGCCCGAGCTCAGGTGATCCGAAATATGAAAAGGCGATGAAGGTGCTTGCAAAGCCGGGTGTTTTGCGTTTTAAAATCTAGTTTGGAGCGTTTCCAGCTGAGGTCGGTTCGGTGGGCGGCTCACCGCGGACGACAGGGCTCCCGTCAGAAACAACCCCAATGCCTCTTTCCCCTTATCTGACTGGTTTTATTAGTAATGTAAGAAATTATATGCCTGGTTAATGTTTAAATGTCCTTTTAGTGAATCACAGGCGTGTGTGCGCGTTATCTCAGGTAGGCTATTACTTTCTTTCTCCGGCGGGCGTTTTTTGCACATATAGGGCGCAGTGACTTTAATTTTATAACTGGCTTTTCTAGCATTTTCTCTATTTCTGTGTTATTTATGGCTTTATGTTAATTGGGTTGGTTATTTATTTATTTATATACGTCTGGCACTGTAACCCAGTTTTTGTATTTGTGTGCGCTTGCTGTAAGGGGAACGAATGATATGATATTTTAACAGCAACAGCGTCGCCTATTTTTCTTTATTCTAATATTTTTAATGTTTTAAACGTGCGTTTCTCTTCTTCCCTCCATCTTTCTGTTTTTATTTCTCTTTTTCTCTCTCCGCGCTTCTCTCCCTCGTTACCCGATGCGCAAAGTCGGGTGTTGCCCCTTCCACAGCGAATGTACATGATTGACAGATGTGTCATCCAATCAGAGCACAGTGGGCGGAGTTAAGCTGCCTCTTCGTGAAATAAAATCGCTGCCATCACATCACACAAAGCACAACACTGCACATACAAGCTAGGAGTAATGTAAAACTGGATAATGAATAGAAGTTAATTACTCATTCTTTCATATATATATATTTTTCCAAGTTGTCCCACTTCTTTTGTTCAGGCCTATTCACAAATGGACCAGTGCAGATATGTCAGCCATTCACCATAGCTGTTTGCTAAAGCAGCTGGACCAGCAACGACAGCAGGAATTGTTCTGTGACTGCAACGTGCTGGTGGAGGGTCAGATTTTCCATGCACACCGTAACGTCTTGTACGGCAGCAGTGGGTATTTCAGGATGTTGTTGTCTCAAGGAGCTAAAGACACTCTAGAGTCTGTAAGTGCTTCTTTTGATGTCTTCAGCCCTGAGATCTTTGCCATCATCCTGGACTTCATTTACTCTGGTCAGCTGGAGCTCAACAGCTCTAATGTAATAGAAGTGATGTCAGCCGCCAGCTACCTGCAGATGAATGACGTCATTTCCTACTGCAAGGCCTTCATTAAATCTTTCCTTGAGATCAGCACAAAAGAGGACGATGAGAATCGGTATCTGTGTCTGTCGGACAGCAGTCCACTTCAGGACAGGCGTGAGAACGTCATCGAGCCGTCCAACATGTGTGACGTAAGCATGAGCTCTCAGACCAGACTCTGGGATCAACCAGAGGAGGATCAGACGCAGGAGGACTTCAGAGAAACAAGCCCACAGCCGTCAGGGCTTCAGCAGAACTCTCCTCCACAGTCCAGTCTGGAGGCACAAATGGAGGAGGAGCAGTTCAGCTCTGTGCTCCCTGAACGCAGAAGAAGAGGGAGCAGGAAAAGAACTGCCACCAGTCGCTTGGTAACAGAAGACACTTCTCTCATTGACCTGCAGGGGGTGGTATCACACTGCTCTCAGAAAGCAGACGAACTGTACACCAACCTTCCGTCTATTCCGTCTATTGTTGGGGTAGTTGGGGTGTTTAATAAAGGTGAGCACAAAACTGCAGATATTGTACATATATAGTTTGGGGTCAGTCAATTTTTTTTTCTAATGAATACTTCTATTTAGCAAGGATGCATTAAAATTATCAATAGTGACAGTAAAAACCTTTTCATTGTTACAAAAAATCAACTTCAAATAAATGCTGCTTTTAAACTTTACATTCATTAATACATCATGAAAAAAGGTATCAAAGTTTCCACAAAAATGTTAAGCAGCACAAATCTTTTCAGATTTCCAGACCTAATCAGCATTAGAATTATTTATAAAGAATTTTGTGACACTGGAGTAATGATGCTGAAAATGTCACTTTTACAGCGTTGCAATCACAGGAATAAATTAATTTTTTCTTATTATAATAATATTGTACAGTAATACTGTTTCGTTGCATTTTTTATCAAATAAATTCAGCCTTCACATATATATATATATATTATATATAATCATATAAAATCTATTCATACATTTGTGCATGAGGATGAAGGAGAAAAACATTTATAAAAAAAAATTATTTTGTCCTCCAGCAAAAATTTCTCTGCCTCCACAATAAAACATTTTCTGTGTTCATATTGCACAAATCCAAATGCCATTTTGCAATTAAGAGCCATTCAAGGTCTTAAACAACAGTCAAAACTTGGACAGAAGTTAATAATGTGAAACATTTCTCCTTTAGGCCTTTTTCTTCCAAAACAAGAGATGTTTTGATTTTAAATAGGCTTTCTAATAGTCATTTGATGTGGTGATGCATGACAGGGATCTAACAGTCCATGTCTGCCTCTCTCTGTCTCAGATTCCACTCCCTCTATGCGTTACAAATGTCCATTCTGCACGCACACAGTAAAGAGAAAGGCCGATTTGAAGCGTCATCTCCGCTGTCACACAGGTGAGCGTCCTTATCCCTGTCAGGCCTGCAGCAAACGTTTCACTCGCCTGGAACACCTGCGCAGCCATTTTGAGACGGTGAGAAACACACTCAGCTTCACACATGTCTGGTCCATTAACACCTCCACAGGCTGTACATCCACATGCTACTGTTGGTCATTAATTCATATCTTGTACTGTGTGTGATGATCACATTAAGTCATGGCTGAATTAAGTCAAGTGTAATGGATGTAATTTAACATAATTACATATTTTTTCAGGCTGTCAAAAAAAATCATTAATGTGGTATCTTAAACATCCCCTGTGTTATCACTTGTGTTCCACAGATCCATCAGGCCCGTAAGCTGGTGTGCAGGAAGTGCAAACGGCATGTAACTGAAGTCACTGGGCGAGTGGTAAGCGAGGGAACCCGCAAATACAGGCTGTGTGATGTTTGCATTCAAGAGAGCGGCTACAGTGAGTTGATCACTGATGGGACGGATGGAAATGAGGACAAGGAAGGCCTGTTGTTGGGTGTGGAAGAGGACATGAGTGAGAACAGGCAAATCGCATGGGTCATGGATGACGATGACCTCGCAGAAGATTCCGGAGCAGATCTCATAATCCAGGAAGTGGAGGACAGCGACGAGGAAGCCAGTGGAAAGTGATGATGCGCTTGTGGTTGTGTGTGAAAGGGGGAATGGGCTAGAGCTGTCTTCCTGGCAGTTTATGGTCTGTTAAGGGACATGATTGTGTGTTTTTGTACAAATAAAAACACTTTCTCATTGAAAATCTAAAGTATTAAAATATAACTGCTTTTATAAAAGTACAAGTATATTTCTGTAATTTAAAGTATATTTAGTTTAATTCAAAAAGGCATTTATTGGCAGAATGACAATGCGGAAATTTAATTTAGATCAGCTACAGGGCTGATACAATGGGACAGAATTTTCTGTAATTAAAAAAAAATCTGCAATATCCTAGTTTTGACTTTCATTTTTCACAGCAGTTTTATGTTTTCACATTAACTATATTAACTATATACATTTACTACAACTTTAGTTAATGCCAAGGTTTACATATGTCATTTAATAAACTATGCTGCATGGAGTCCACGTGACCTACTTTGTGTGATGTGTAACAGACTCATTTATTTATTTAAAACAAAACGAGTTATATTTGTTACCAGTCACAGGCTCAACATAAACATTGTCTAAATAAAATATTGTATGTATGAATATATGTGTTTCTGTTTCACTCTCGATATATCATCTTTGCCATTTGTCTTATTTTGACAGAACATTATTTGTGTTTTGATTATTTGGTCTAAAGGAAATATATTTTATACACATACAGTTTATATCATTGGCATTTAACCAGAATTTTGAAAAGGGTAATACATTACCTTATTCTGCCTTTATACCGACATTTATCACAACCTCTTGGATTTTTTCACTTTTTGGACAAACAAGAAAAACATTCAGCTCTTAGAGCCACGATGACAGATTGGTGCCGAGCCTCTAGAAATCTGATCCCGTGTTATCGCGAGATCTAAATCCATATATGAGCTAATGACGTCAGGGCGAATGGGGGCGTGTGAAGATGGCGGCGTACATGATGAGAGTTGGTCCAGGTTCTTTCGGTTCTGCTCGGGTTCACAGACCTGCTCTGTTCTCCGCTGCTGCCGCAATACTGAGATCCGTAAGTTCACGCGCGTGCTTTTCTGAATGTGACGATGTTACGTGGTTTGTGTTTACCTAAATTCATTAAATTACAAATGACATAGCCTTCATGTTTATACTATTTTGCGTGCATGTGTATATTTGTCTAACGTTACTCCTGTCTGTCTGTCTGTGTGTGTGTGTGTGTGTGTGTGCGTGCGTGCGTGCGTGCGTGCGTGCGTGATCTGACAGGTCAATGTGTCTGCCACACAGTCAATCTCATTACCAGAGATGGTTAAGATTGTAGAGGTTGGACCCCGAGATGGACTTCAGAATGAGAAGGTCAAGCGTTTTCTGTGATTCTGAATTAACCTGCATCAACACCCAGCATGACAGCTCTGTGCTGTATGATTAAACACTTCTGTTTTGTGTTTGCCAACTGTCAAACCCTGTTGACACATAGTGAGTAGTTATTTCAGAAGGTTTGTCCTGGAAGTATCATGGAATTTCAAAGGTGTGATTTCCAGGTCTGGATAATGGAAATGAGTAAAATAGTAAAAGTCATTGAAATGTGTCACATATGATGATGGAAAAGTTCTGGAAACCATGTAAAGTGAAATACAAGAGCTGTATCATTTCTATTAATCAAACTCTGCATCCATCAGACCGTCGTTCCAACAGAGGTGAAGATCTGTCTGATTGATATGCTCTCAGAGGCAGGACTTCCTGTCATTGAGGCCACAAGTTTTGTTTCACCTAAATGGGTCCCTCAGGTGAGATGCAGCATATGCCATCAAAGCCTGCAAACATTTAATAAACAAACTCTCACAACATGAAATAAAACACTATAAAGAGAGAGAATGATGAGAGATTGGCTGCATTTGATTGGCAGATGGCCGATCAAGAGGAAGTGATGCGTGGCCTCCACAAGAAACCTGGCGTGAACTACCCTGTTCTGACCCCTAATCTGAAGGGATTCCAGGCTGCTGTGAGTGAAATACAGCACAGACTGTTATGTGCTAGTGCTATATTAAATATGTTTATTTATATACTACCATTCAAAAGTTTGGAGTTAGTAAGAAATATATTTATAATCTCAGATGAAGGCTGGTGCAAAAGAGGTGGCAATATTTGGTGCTGCATCAGAGCTCTTCAGTAAGAAGAACATAAACTGTTCAGTGGATGAGAGTCTTGTGCGCTTTGAGGAGGTGATGAGAGCAGCCAATCAAGAGGGGGTTCCTGTGAGAGGGTAAGACACCTGCCGATTGCACATTTCAGTGTCTCAGTAATTTTTCCATAACCCAGTGCTCTTATTTCAGAAAAATCTTCTCTTTCTCTGTTATTCCCAGCTATGTGTCATGTGTGCTGGGTTGTCCATATGAAGGGAAGGTATCGCCGAACAAAGTGGCAGAGGTGGCTAAGCGACTGTATTCCATGGGCTGCTATGAGATTTCACTTGGCGATACTATCGGAGTGGGCACTCCGGGTGGCATGACGGAGATGTTGAATGCCGTGAAGAAAGAGGTTCCTGTGGAGGCTTTAGCAGTTCACTGTCATGACACTTATGGACAAGCACTCGCTAACATACTTGTAGCATTACAGGTATGGAAGTGCGTGGAATACTCTGCCTGCCTGTCTTGATTTATATTTTTACCATATTCATAGTGGTTTACTGTCTGTCGAGACCCGCCCTTATACTGAATTAGTGACACAAATGCCTTGCGTGCATACTATCCGTTCTCACCTTTTCATTTTTCGCATTCTTAAAATGAGCAACTATTTTTAAATACAACACACCTTTGTAGGGCTGTGCAATTAATCGCATGTGATTGTCAAGCGCATTTCGTCAGTAAAGCCGGTTCCGTGATTGGTAGTAAATCTCCATCACCTGCTTTCAAATGGAGCGGCATTTAATACACAGAGCCGTAGTTCACTGAAGAGCTAGGCATTATTGCGTTCATAATTGAATGTAGGTGATGGAGATTTACTACTAATCACGGAACCGCCTTTACTGACGAGATGCGCATGACAATTGCATGCGATTAATTGCACAGCCCTACACCTTTGTTTCATGTGTTCTTTTCTAGAATGGGGTAAGTGTCGTGGATTCATCCGTTGCAGGGCTGGGCGGCTGCCCTTATGCCCAAGGGGCTTCTGGGAATGTTGCAACTGAAGATTTGGTCTATATGCTGCACGGACTGAGAATCCATACTGTAAGTACAGGACTGTGTCTGTGTCACATCTAAATCTTAATCTCACAGTCAAATCTATCAGCAGTCTGGATTCTTTAAAGGGGTCATATGATGCTATTTTAAAGATAATTATTTGGTGTAACAGAATATGTTGACATGCTTTAATGTTCAAAAAACACATTATTTTTCAAATACTGTACATTATTGTAGGTCCTCTATGCCCCGCCTCTCTCAAACACGTCGTTTTCAACAAAGCCTTTGCGTGCACATTTGGGCGGCATTATGCTAATATTTCCACATAGTGAGGTAGATATGTGGGGGCGTGTTAGAATGAGCCATTTTAGGTAGGCGTGGCTTGACTCTTAACTTCTATAAAGAATATCTCTTTGGATTTGAGACTTTAGTCTTTGCAACTTTACAGATCTTCTTTATGCACCAAGAGCTTGTAACACTCCAAAGAGAAAGGAAAACTTGAAACCGCATCATATGACCCCTTTAAGAAAATCCTGATCTGTAAATGCCCGACCTAAAACAACTTCCTTTAATAGGGAACGTCACGCATAAATCATGACTGATTTTGCTGAATTATGGTTTAACTTCTCATAAGTTCACAGGCTTTCTATAAAGTATGCTACTATTCAAATTTTGGGATTGGTAAGTTAAAAAAAAAAAAAAAGTTTTTAAAAGAAGTCTCTTTTGCTCACTAAGGCTGCATTAATCTGAATAACAATTCTGCTCCACTAAGCAAGACACTTAATCCCTGCTGTTTTCAAGGCAAAAGTTTCTGAATCTACCCAAGACTGGTAGTAATATTATGTAGTAATAGTAATATTATGAAATATTACAATATAAAATAACTGTTTTCTATTTTAATAAATTTGAAAATGTAATTTCTGTGATGCCAAAGCTGAATTTTCAGCAGCCATTACTCCAGTCTTCAGTGTCACAAGAAACATGTGGGGTCAGAGAATGAATGGAAAGTGGTCATAAAATAATAATTACATTATACTTTAAGAAAATAAAAATGTCACAAATACTACTGGGCCTCTGGGTATAAAACTAAATAATAATGTAAAAAAAATAAAAATAAAATAAAAAACAGTTATACCACACATTTAAACTAGTTTCTTTGTTTCAGGGAGTGGACCTGCCCAAACTGTTGGACGCTGGCTCATACATCTGTCATTCACTCAACAGAAGGACAAATTCAAAAGTAGCTCAGGCCTCCTGCAAGCTCTGAAGTCTTCTTTCTCTTTATGGAGATTATAGTCTCTGGTATGATGACATTACTCTTTTGGAGCTCACACTACATAACCCCTTAGTACGCAATGAAATCTCTTCATTTATAACATTTTTCAAATAAGTATTTCTAAACACAGTGGAGCTGGACATTGGGGATCAGCACATCCATTCTCTTCTGTGAATGTCTAGTGGTGAAAAGGGTGCTTGTGAGCTCATACATTTGGGCGGCATTATGCTAATATTTCCACATAGTGAGGTAGATATGTGGGGGCGTGTTAGAATGAGCCATTTTAGGTAGGCGTGGCTTGACTCTTAACTTCTATAAAGAATATCTCTTTGGATTTGAGACTTTAGTCTTTGCAACTTTACAGATCTTCTTTATGCACCAAGAGCTTGTAACACTGCAAAGAGAAAGGAAAACTTGAAACCGCATCATATGACCCCTTTAAGAAAATCCTGATCTGTAAATGCCCGACCTAAAACAACTTCCTTTAATAGGGAACGTCACGCATAAATCATGACTGATTTTGCTGAATTATGGTTTAACTTCTCATAAGTTCACAGGCTTTCTATAAAGTATGCTACTATTCAAATTTTGGGATTGGTAAGTTAAAAAAAAAAAAAAGTTTTTAAAAGAAGTCTCTTTTGCTCACTAAGGCTGCATTAATCTGAATAACAATTCTGCTCCACTAAGCAAGACACTTAATCCCTGCTGTTTTCAAGGCAAAAGTTTCTGAATCTACCCAAGACTGGTAGTAATATTATGTAGTAATAGTAATATTATGAAATATTACAATATAAAATAACTGTTTTCTATTTTAATAAATTTGAAAATGTAATTTCTGTGATGCCAAAGCTGAATTTTCAGCAGCCATTACTCCAGTCTTCAGTGTCACAAGAAACATGTGGGGTCAGAGAATGAATGGAAAGTGGTCATAAAATAATAATTACATTATACTTTAAGAAAATAAAAATGTCACAAATACTACTGGGCCTCTGGGTATAAAACTAAATAATAATGTAAAAAAAATAAAAATAAAATAAAAAACAGTTATACCACACATTTAAACTAGTTTCTTTGTTTCAGGGAGTGGACCTGCCCAAACTGTTGGACGCTGGCTCATACATCTGTCATTCACTCAACAGAAGGACAAATTCAAAAGTAGCTCAGGCCTCCTGCAAGCTCTGAAGTCTTCTTTCTCTTTATGGAGATTATAGTCTCTGGTATGATGACATTACTCTTTTGGAGCTCACACTACATAACCCCTTAGTACGCAATGAAATCTCTTCATTTATAACATTTTTCAAATAAGTATTTCTAAACACAGTGGAGCTGGACATTGGGGATCAGCACATCCATTCTCTTCTGTGAATGTCTAGTGGTGAAAAGGGTGCTTGTGAGCTCATATCAACCAATATTCACAACCACAGACCCAAACTGTTCTCTTGTGCCTTGATTTCTGATGAAAGGCAATCTTTGTATATGTGTATTTCTAATAAATTAATTAAATATTTTACATAGTGCTGAAGCAAGATCGTTTGATGCCTAAAGGCAATAAATGCCAGAAGGGGACGTTATTTGACTTGGCAGAATATTATGAATCTAGATGAAAATGTTTTTCTGGTTAGACTGAATCACATTACTAATCTTGATTAGCATTGTTATCATTGTCTCTCAGAATGAGATGTCACAAATGGTTTTAAATATGACATCCTCATACTTGTGTCCGTGTATGCTTTTTGACTCGTTTTGAAGATGGAAATATCTCATTACCAGACAAAAGCATTATTATGCTGGTAATCATAACAAACCCATTATAATGAAAAGACTCACGGAACTTCAGATACATCAGATAATAATGCACCATTATGATTACGGATTAATTTTGTTACTCTCCAGGAAAAAACATGAATGATTTATGCTTTTTCCATGCTAAGGAAAATCCCTTTACTCTGCAGGTTTGTTGATGCCTGTGAATTTCCTTTCATTTATTGTAGAGACATGTCTTATGTGTGCAACAACTTATCGTTTCTATTTGTATTGTTAACTGACATTATCGTATGATTTTTTTTTTTGCTTCACACTTTATCTTTAGTGTGTATGATGTTTAATAGAGGATTATTAATTTTAATGATTAAAGACAAGGAGAAATGTGAATTTATGCATCCTTATGCAATGTGCCAAACTTCTCTTTCAGGTATACTTTTACCGATTAGGCTGACAACTGAATTTTTCATAATAGTAACAAACATAAAACTGTATCCTTCTTGCCAAAAGGAAAGAAACCATTTTAGTTACATAAAGTACTTCTGTTATCGGTTGAAGGCTGATTAACTGGATCAACAAGTCTGCACATTTACGCATTTTGTTTGACATCATAGAACCACCCTCAAAAACATATTTTACAAATTTATGCATGACTAAGACAAAAAACGTGAGTAATAATTTTTGTACATTGATCAGGAAGTGACGTCCTGTTAATGCAAGGCTGTGCATGTATATATTTGATTACTTAGAAAAAAAGTAGTTCTCAATATATTAATATCCTTTTATGAATAAAAAAATACAGTTTATGTGTCCAAACGTTCATGTAGCTGTACTGAGTAGGCTTTATGATACATTCCAGAGATTTTGAACCATTCAGATGCTAACTGTAATAGCAGGTAAACTTTTAAATCAGTCAAAGCATAGACAAAGAATCCCACTGTCATTCAAAAGTTTGGGGTAAGTAAGATTGTTTTATGTTTGTGAAAGACATCTCTTATGCTCATCAAGGCCATCAGTCACATGATCCTTCCGAAATCATTCTGATATGCTAATTTGGTGCTCAAGAAACATTTCTTGTCACAGTTGACAACGATTCAACAGTTCAGTGTTGTTGCAAACCATGTTACATTTTTCTCACAGTATTTTGATAAATAGAAAGTTCAAAAAGCATCTATTTGAAATATTTTTGTATCAATATAAAAGTATTTACTGTCACTTTTGATCAATTTAATGCATCCTTGTTGAATAAAAGTATTAAAAATCTCAGTGACCCCAAACATTTGAATGGTTTTGCAAAGATTTGAAATAGATCAGTGTAAATTAATCAGTATTACATAAGTTCTGACAAAGGATAGTGAATAATGAGTTTCATGTTCCATGTTCTCAAAGTTAATTGAAGTTGTTTATCCACTTCCTTAAATCTGTTTCCTCTTTGATTTAAATCTGTTCATGATTTAAGCTATTGCTTTTTCACATCAAAATAATCTTTAAAATGTGACAAAATGGCTAATTTTGTACTTTATTTATACAGTATCAAAATTAATAAACTTTAAAAGCTTCCTCATTTAAAATATCGTCAAATAGTATATGCCATACAAAAGAAGAACTCCATTTTGGCAATTTTACGAAACACATGAAAGAAATTCATAAGGTAATTTGTCAGTGCGTTGATTCATTTTTGATACAAAGGCAGGGTGTGCAGCATAATGAAAAATCTCAGTTAAATATGTAACACAATCTTAACAGCAAGTCTGAGCAAAGTCAAACTCTTGCAAATGCTTGCCAAGTGTAGATCAGATGAGGTTAGTCCACAGTCTACAGTAAAGTTACAACAAATAATGGAAGAAAAATTTCCCTGATTGCCCATCTTGTGGACACTGTGTTATATTTTATATACCTCTCATTTTTCCAGCATAAGAATTTAAGTTCAGATAGAGTTCAGGTGTGTTTGCATATAGACATCCACTATGATCTCTATGAAACTCAAAGTTGGAACAGCTTCAACTTTTAAACTTTGTTCTGATCTTTGTAACAAATACCAGGACATTGAGAAATGAGACAACGTAAACAATGACACCCATGAGGCATTTTCATTATGTCTTCTAACATACAATGAACTCCACTCTTCCTATCTTTTAGTGTGTGTTAAGGTGGAAGTGGGTTTTGTATGCAAGGCGTGTTCTCCATGAATGCCTTCCTGGTTACTTGATAACGCTTGAGCTTTTTAATGGGTTTTCACCTTTGCTCTTTTTAGGAAATTAATGAGAGGAATGAATCAGAGAGCAATGCATTCAGTCCCCATTAATTCTTAGGATCATGGCAGTTATGCAGTACTTTGAGCTGAAGTTGAAGCCTGAAGGAACTAGGCTCTTAATCAAACGACTCCAGGTCTGAACCCAGGTACCAGTGTTATCACAATCCTGGTTGATCTCCACTGCTCCACTAAGCAAGACACTTAATCCCTGCTGTTTCCAAGGCAAAAGTTTCTGAAATCTGGCATATAGAATTTCACGAACCATCTGCCAAATAACAAACACCCAAGAAGACTGGCAGTTTTATAGGTCTTGATGGACGATGAAAGATTTTGAGACTGTCCAGATATTCAAAGCTTGTTTTATGCCCCCAGATCACTCTGTGAACACTTGATGGAGAAGGAAACATGGAAACATTCTTCAAAGTATATCAGACTGTATCTTGTACATGGGTACTGAGAGGTTTGGAGCAGAAGCTCTCATGTCTACACTCGATCTGTAGGCTGGCTTAAATGTTGGCTTGAGTTCAGATTTAAACTGTGGTTTAGACCCAGGGTTATACTCAGGCTTAAAGTCTGGTTTAGACTCTGATTTAAACTCAGGTTTGCTGTCCAATTCATGCATAGGAATGGTGCAGTTGCTGTCCTCGTCTCTGTATCGTCCATTAAGCGGTGTGCTGCTTCTTTGGTGCCTCTTACACTTGTTGGCACATCGAATGACGCGTTTGGAGACCAGGTAGATGATCTCACAGACACTGAGCACTATGCAAAGAGCTGAAGCTCCAACCATGAAGTAGGTGAAGACTCTTTTCTCTGTGGGTCGTCCAATGTAACAGTCCACAACGTTGGGACATGGCTGGACCTCACACTTCACCAGCCGTGGCAGGTAGAAACTGTCATAAATGTGATGGAGGATGTACAGGAAGGTGATCTCGATGCCAGTCTTGACAAAAAGGCTGATCAGGTACGTCCACCACAGTCCACCGTGTTTCTTCCCCGTGTTGTCGTAGAGCTTGGCTTTTTCACCGTGCTTCTCACGGTACTTGCGTTCGCACTCGTCACGGTACTTCACGTGCATTACCACCATCAGCGATGGACAGGTGACGAAGATGAGCTGCAGGGCCCACAGTCGGATGTGGGAAAT